TGAAACAAATCAGCAGCATGAGATCAGCAGCATGAAACAGATCAGCAGCAACATGAAACAGATCAGTAGCAACATGAAACAGATCAGCAGCAACATTGAAACAGATCAGTAGCAACATGAAACAGATCAGCAGCAACATGAAACAGATCAGCAGCAACATGATGTGACTTTTTTCACAGTGATTATTCTGGTTAGAGATTCATGAGTCTAACAGCTTCAGGGTAGAAGCTGTTCCTCAGTCTAGTGGTTCTACACTTAATGCTCCTCAACCTCCTTCCTGAGGAGAGTGGAGTATAAAGTGTGTGCTGGGTGAGTGAGGTCCTTCATGATGAAGATGGCCCCTTTCCTGCATCTGGAGGTGTAGATGTCTGTGAAGGTGGGGAGACTGACTCCAACAGTCTTCTGTGCAGCCTTCACCACTCTCTGCAAAGCTTTTCTTTCTGCAGCTGTGCAGCCTCCATGCCACACGTTGTTGCTGGAGCACAGGATGCTCTCCACTGCACACCTGTAGAAGGAGGTGAGGACTGAGCTTCCCAGACCAGCTCGTCTCAGCCTCCTGAGGAAGTAGAGTCTCTGATGAGCTTTCTTGATCAGGCTGGTGGTGTTGGTGCCCCAGATGAACCTGTCATTCACGTGCACACCCAAGTATTTGTAGCTGGAGACCACTTCATCTATGTTGCCTGCTAGCTTTGTGCTACGTTAAGTGTCAACAGTTGTTGACCTGGTTGTGAGTGTGTGGGGGTAGGATGGTTGAGAGAAGCTGAGTGCTACGTCTGTAGCATCTTAGCTAAAGCATCTGTTTTGTGCACCATTATATAGAAGTGTGAGAGAAGTGGAGCGTGGTTTATTCATACAAGGAGAGCTGTTGTCAGGCTACTTCTTGTTGTGCCATGTTCTCTTGAATCAAGTGTTTACTTATGTAGGAAAACGTAGATGTATAATACGTAGACCCATTAAAACACACCAGAATGCAGGAAATGGCATCTACTTTATTCAAAAATGTGTAGGGGAGGACCCCCACCCCCCCAGACCCCGCACCCCCACCAATGTGTCTCCCACATTACAAATGCTTCTGACGCCAATGTGCTTGGTTATGTGTTGGGGATGATGATCAGCTTCTAAGAAGTTTCTTTTGGTTGCTTCCTCTGCAGGGGTTGCCACAGCTTGTCTGAAATATTTGGCAACTGTTTTACTTCACGTGTCCTACTTGACGTAACCGGGGCTCAAACTGGCAGCTCTGGAATTATGAGGCTGGATCACTTAACCACTGCGCTACTGCAGCTACCATCACCTCAAATAGGTCAATATATGTAAAAATAGTTGTTCAGCCATTTTTGTGTTTGCTAAGGTACATTAGCTGTGGTAGCCATCTTAAATTGGAATGACTCCAAACTTAAATTAGCTGTAGACCAGCGCAGTGGTTCAAGAGATAGTTTGCTAACACTACAGCCATTCACCTTCAGGCTATAATTATAATGGTTACAGTATCAGTACAATATATGAATGTCTAAAGTGAAGCCATATTAACCATAGTAGCAATAAAAAATTTTAATTGTAAAATCGAAATTGATCAGGATCATAAAACAAGTGAACAGTTCAGTTATCAAAGGTCCAAACTTGCTCATTTCAAGACGTCCACCACCAGATAATTTTTCATTCACACACAAACACAGGCAAATAACTGAGCCTGATTCCATGTATCATCCAGTATTTGAACGTAGGAGAACATGGGCTCCACATGTGCCATGTAATCCTGATGCTGCACAAAGCCGGTGGAACAGCTGCATCAAGCAGCTTTACATGCCGAGGAGTCTGCACACACACACATACAGGCCTCAGGCCCAAGTAACAAAAGTGGAGTGAGTGAGCAGAGCGCAGGGATAAGAGTGGAAACGAGGAGAGTGGTGGAAAAATTGAGAGCCTGCGAGACCGCAATGAGAGTGATGTGTGGAGAAAGGAGAAGCAGGAGGACCATGGGGGAAAGAAGAGGCGATGAGGAGAAAACAGCTATTCTTGCATGCTGCTAGGCAACAATCTCCGGTCAGTGAAGGCTGCTCATATGGCTGACCTGCTTCACTCGTCTTCCATTTTGGAAAGTACTTGTCCTCTTCCTCTCCATCTATCGCTTCACTCGTTGCTGTTTCTAAACCTAAATTTTTCATCACCGTCCACCTTGTTACTTACACTTTATTTTCTCCTCCTCGTTGCTTTCTCCCCTTGTTTTTTAACCTCTTTTGCTTTAAAACGTGATTTCCCCTCCTCTCTCTGCCCACTTCTCTTCACTTGACCTGCTTTAGAGTCTTTTCTCCTCAGCACATTTCTGCTTTGTTAGGCAGCATTCGGCAGAGGGTGACAGAAAGAGCATGTCCAGAAACTGTGGACTAGAACCTGCAACGCTACAGTGCACCTACGCTCTTCCAGCAACCCCTCTCTTTTACTCTGTGCATGTGCCATACCTCTGGTAAATATGCTGCTTACCTGACCTGCACTGTATGCTTAGCATTTTTCACACCAGTCCCATAAAAAAAAAAAAATCCAAATTCTACCATCACAACTACAGAAATATTTGGATCTACATGCTTTTGAATCCTTTTTGTTTAGAACTGTATATTTCTCATTTGTTTTCATTTTTGCTCTTTCTGTGGTCACATCGCACACAATCACTCTTATCACTTCTGTTCATCTTAATCTCTCACATTCCCCTCCCGCTCTAAAGAACATGATTCAAAAGCTTTTTTTTAAATTCCTATTTTTAGCTTTCATACGTTAAGACAAGGACTATGAATCATAATAGCTGTGCTGGAGTAAGTTGTCAGTCAGGTGTATGGCTGCTGCTAAATCTACTATCATTAAGCTCAAAGCAGGAAATTGTAGCTCTTTCTAAACCGCTGTGCCTGCGGTCACATTAAATTAACACAAATTTATTTTACAAAATCTATTTAAAACTTTTTTTTTTCTAAACTAAAGAGCTGCTTTACATAGGCCAAGAGGCCTCAAACATTAGATCCAAAGGTCCAAATCTGATTTCTAGATAAGGTCAAAAGCAACTAAAATAGCCAAATCCTACTTATAAAATTTGCTTACAACTAAAGAATAGTTTGCTTGGAAACCTAAGCTGCTCTGACTTTTGACAGTAAAGCCTAAAATACACTGCAGTTTTGTGTAGATGAACAGATGCTGGGATATATTCATCATTTAACGCGGGTTCCTCATTTTTCTGGACTGAATAAAACGTGCATTGAATTTAAGGAAATGCAAAGTGAGACGTCATTTATATTTGACCCATCAAAATGAATGCGGTCATTTATTTACAGAATCAAATTTAACATCAAACATTTACATTAATTTGGCAAATTATGAAAATAACAATATAAGCAATCAATCAGGAAAAATCATACGGCCATGATTTTTCCGTTGCTGCACCACAAACATTTATAAAAACTGTACAACTATGATCTTTTACCCACACGGATGTGAATAAGCACTTTACACAGACATTTCTAAATATCTGGGAGAATTTCTACTTGATAGAAAGTTAAAGATGAAAGAAGTTAAAGGGAGTAAGATTGAATGGGAAGGGAGGAATGTTCACCAGAACCGACACTCTCCATCAGAAGCCCAGCTCTCCTTCGGTACGCTTGGTAGGAAACTTGATCCATTACCTTTCTGAAGATTTATCAGCAGATATGGAATTCCGTTAACGCTACCTGTCCAGCGTCTCCTGCGGTGGCTGTAGCTCGTCAGAAGTAGTGGCTAGTGAAAGTTATAATCCCATGGAACTCGGAAGAGCCTTTTGTCATGTCAAGATCATCCCGTCTCTAACAGAACTTGAGCAGAACCAGCAGAAAACTCTCCAACTCCCCAACTCTGTAACTCTGTGAGTCTGTGAGTCTGTGTA